TGCCCTCTTTTTGGTTCTACTCAGAGCCAGCTCTCCTCACCCTCAATGCCTCATGTTCCTCCCATTCAGTGGTAAAAATTGAGGTTGCAGAGACTGACAGTAAACCCTTCCCAGGGCTGCATGTAAGAGGAGGCAGGGTGAGGGCTGTGAAGGGGTTAAACAGACTGAGGGACGGTGGGGGAAGGGGAGGAGGGGGTGCAGAGTAGGGGTCCTTACTGAAATGCAAGCTGAATCCCCCATGGAGGCATCTCCCACAAACCCACTACCCATTGAATGAATTAGATATTCTCACCCGCATCTCAGGTAAAGGACTGATTGATTGCTCTTTGGGATTTTGTGTATTTGTTTGTTTGCTTGTTTTTAATGATGGACTATATTACCTTTCTCCAACAACAGTGATGGTTAGTGCTAGGGTTACAAAGGTCATAGAATTTCAGAGAAAAGTCAGGTTCCTATCAATAACCAGGGAAATCTTTAGGAAGCTGAAATGCTGGGTGTCACTAGAATTTCACGGACTATAGACTTTTTAATTGGAAGAATCTCTGGAGAGATTTAACTCTACCTCCTAATTTTGTAATGAGGTTATTGAGCCTAAAGAAATAGTGATGGAGTGGGGTTGGGGATGGGGTGAGGCAGAGGGAACCTCATAAGCCAGGCCATAGAGGAGGGAAGACATAAGACCCACTGAAGGATGGAGACATCAGTTGCATGATTATTCAGATTTATTTTAACCTTGGGCAAAAGTGAATTATTTTAACAAAAGAACCTGAAATATTAATATGAACAAGATGTAAAACATTTAGATATGACTTATGTTAGGGAAAAAAAATACATGAAATAAGGGAAGTTCTTTAAGGGATAAGGACAGAGAAGAAGCATTGCAATTTATTTGGAAGTGGGGCCTTCCCAGTATAAACTTAGAAAACAAAAGGATAGTGCTTCTTCCTTCTTCTCTCTTCCCTGACCTCCCTTGATCTCTCTCTCCTCTTCCTCCTTGTCCCTTTCTCCAGTCTGAGTGACAACTTGGATTCCCACTCTCCTCCATTGCTGTGTGCCTAGTGATCAGGATGGTGCCATCAGGGAATTTACCTGCTGTGTGTGGGTGTGGCTGTGCTGGGCAGATGCTGGGAGAGTGGGACACAGGGAGCTCTCTCCCCTATTTTGCAGTCTCCCTCTCCCCCACAATCAGACATCTGGGTTAAGTGCTGCCTCTGTTAGAGAGACACAAAAATACGACAATAAAAAAGGAGCAATTTGAATTTTGAATTTCATATGGAAATGATTAGAAGTGTGAATACTGTCAATGGAAAATGTCATCATTGTTCACAAAAGCTCACAAAAAACCTACAGAAATAGGCTTTGCCATTATAGTAAAGGCAACTGTAATTTTATTTTGGCACTCCTTCTGCCTCCTATTTCCATATAATTTCTAAGCAAATAAGTAAAATAAAAAATTGGTCAGCTTCCTCCTAACTCCACCTTATATCTTCTCAATATTATTACTTTCCTTATTGTCAGCATAATAATTCAGGAATAAATCAAGGAGAACCCAAACCCTGACGTTTGCTCTCCAAGCCTTTTCAGGCTCTAGAATGAGCATTGGGATAACTTAATCTCTAGGAACAACCATGCTACTGACATTTTGGCTCATCTGTTTCGATGATGCAAAGTACCTAGAGGATAACATTCTGTTTCATGATGGAAAATTCGAGTCCTTTCTTCCAATCAGAAGTATAAACACTCTTGATGAGATACAGTGAAGCTTTAAAAGCTGGAAAAAATGGTAGAAATATATAGAGATTCTTTCCTTCAACTTCTCAAAAGGTTCTGTCCTCTCTTACAGGCTCTGGAAATAACTTTACCTAAATGAGGAGGAAGTTTCCTTTGGATAGGTTAGATATTTAAAGAAAAAGATTTTGAGTATTTAATGGAATTACTCCTTTGATCCAACCTATAAGAAAGATGTGTTGACTTTCTAGTTCCAAAATATATGTCAAATCAGACTGAGTGTCTCTCTCTGTCTCTGATGCCACCACCTTGGTCCAGCTCTCGTCTACATTGGCTCTCCCTGTCCTGTTCCACCTGCTCTCACACAACAGCCAGGTTGTCATCTTACAGTGTGAAGGACACCCCCTTCCCCCACACCACCCCCTGCTTCAGGTCCTGCGATGAGAGAAGTTTGGGTTTCACTCTAACACAGTCCGCTAAGGGCTCCCCCATCCCCAACCCTCTGCTGCTTTCTCTCCAGCACTCTGCTGTTTCTTTCATAAGACCTTATTATGATTTGTAAATATTTTGTTTGCTTATTTTTTTCTTGTGTCATCTTGCTTACCAAATTGTGTGATTCATAAATTCAGGGATGTTTCTGTCTCACTCATGTTTGTTTCCTAGTGGCAAGCTCAACAACTAGCACATGGTGGACCTTTTCTCCAACATTTTTTTAATAAAAAATTTCAAACATATAGTAAAGTTAAGAGAATTTTACAATGAATACCTGAATACCTACCACCTAGTTTCTACTGTTTTTTATTCATCACATATCTAGCCATCTCTCCATTCCTCTATCTATCCATCAATACATGGTTGACTTTTAATACATTTGTTGGAGGAATGAATAAATGAATGAATGTTATTCTTTTGGTCAATAGCGGGAAGCTGTCCGAATAGGTTGGCCCAGTACAAATGCTGAGCTTCCTTGTTTCCATGTGGACACAGGGTGTGGGGAACTATGTAATGTTCCCTAGGATGTGTATCTGCTAAACTCTGTACCAGGCATTGGGCTAGATACTGGGGATTCAGAAATAAGGACAAATTTCCTACCTTCCAGGGGCACATGCTCTACTAGTGAGAGGGCCTGAATATGTTAGTGATGGAGGAAGAAAGAAGTAGAAAATGTGGACTAGTGATTTTTTTTTTTACACACACAACTTATTAATAAAGACTGCCCAATGTTATCTTGATGTTAAAACGGCCTGATTTCTTGGCATTTTGTGTTTTTTGGTTGCACAAGTAGATAAAAGCAATTGTTGACCTGACCAATACCAGTGAAAGAACATTTTATGATTCTTAGTTTAGTGAGTGACAAATGCAAGCCCATTTGAACCATGACACTTTTGGCTTTTCTTTTTTTTTTTTTTTTTTTGAGGAGATCAGCCCTGTGCTAACATCTGCCAATCCTCCTCTTTTTTGGCTGAGGAAGACTGGCCCTGGGCTAACATCCATGCCCATCTTCCTCCACTTTATATGGGATGCCGCCACAGCATGGCTTGCCAAGCAGTGCATTGGTGCGCGTCCGGGATCTGAACTGGCAAACCCCGGGCCGCCGCAGTGGAGTGCATGCACTTAACCACTTGAACCACTGGGCCAGCCCATTGGCTTTTCTTTTTTTAAAAGTTCTGTACACACCATTGAAATATACAAATAATAGAAGCAAAGGAAAAGCATTTGAAAAGTGTTTCTAATCTAGGCTAACTATGGTCAAGGTAAAGAGCATCTCTGCTGAGGCTAGAAAATTGACAGGGCAGGCCAGGCAGGTAGAGGGTTCTACCCTTCTGCACATGGATAGGTTTTTTTCCAAATTATATTTTTTGGACCCTGTATTTATTATTTTGATTGCTCGGAGAAATGTTTACCTTTGAAGTGACATCCTGGGGCGGTGTTTTGCAATATCTGTTATTAAGCTCTACTGTGTCTATTCACATTTATTTTAATTTTTATTTTTAGAATGAGGATTTTAAGGTCAACACAGTCTCTTTGTGATCGAATTCCCAGAGTATTTAGCAGGGGTCCATGTATATAGGGTGTGGAATCACTGTGAACCAGGAGTGCATCCAAGTTCATGCTTAACTGAGAATCCTCTGTTAAATATTTAAAAGTGAAAGCAATCTTTCAAAATAGGCATATGGGCCTGGACAGCATAGAAATGGGTGAACATAGCACCCAGGCAAGCAGCAAAGGTGAATCTGGGACCTGGGCTTGTGGTTCCTCTGACCTCTGCTGTCTCCTCATACCTCACCCCTTTTATTTGATGGGGTTCTGCTTTCTAACATATGGGAGATCTCTATCCCATCAGCTTTCATTTGCTCACATTGTCCTCCCATGGGCTTCTGTTGGCCAGTGTGGTCCTGACCCGGATTTGCTTCCTTGCTTTGCCGTTAGTAGCTAAAGGACCTTGAACAAGAAAGGGACCTTTTGCAAGTTTCAGGTTCCTTACCTGTAACTGGGGGACCTTAGTACCTACTTCAACATGTAAAATGCATCCACCATGGAGAAGACCCTTGATAAATGTTAGTTTTACCCTACCATTTTAAGATCAGTTGCCACATTATATTTGTAAGAAATGATAAGTTTGGGGAAAAATACATATGTAAGCACCTAGATATTCAGTGCAATATGAAGAAAAAGCAAATCTGGAGGTGGATATTTTATTTATAAAATTAAACCTAACTTTATTTTGCAAAAATCAATGAATACATGTTCATGTCTGGTTTATCTTCAAAACACGTATTTTTGTTTTTTAACAAACATGCAAGTTAATTTGGCATGCCAAACATCTGTCTCTCTAGCTCTCCTTGGAAAATTTTTTTCATAACACAAACAAGGGTGCAAACATTGTCCAAAAACTGTTTACACTTTTACCCTCCAGAATTACTAACATTAATATTTATTGAGAGCAAAGAAAAACCACAAAATTTGGTCTTTGACGTTCACATTTGATTCAGCAATATAATTAAAAACTTGTATTTGTTTTTAAGATAAACATTTTGAAGGAAATTTAATAAATTTTGTTTTTGCTCTGCAAAGGAGCCACTAGATCAAAGCATTTAACTGGAGCTATCGAGTTCCTGCTGGTAGAATATTACTTCCAGCCTATTTATTAGCTTTTCTTCCTGTAGCCCAATACATGCTTTTTTTTTTCCCCCTCCACTGAGTGAAAGCACAGAAAGAAAGCAGTTTCTTTTCTCTTTTTCCCCCAGCATCATGCAAGGCAAGACAGCATCACAAGTCACAATATCTGAATTTACTTTGATTATATTTTGTTTCTTACACTTAAAAATTATTTTGTATTATAATACTTACTGGGTTATCTAAAATCAACATTGTTGATTTTAAACTATTATAAAGCCAGACTTTTAGAGGCATTTAAAACAATTCCTTAACCATGTCTGAAAGGAGATAATTGCCTCCAGCCTATTCTTTAGTACTTGAAGTAAAAGAAGTTTAGGTATCAGTAATTTACTAGAAAATAAGACTTTAGGGGGCCCATATAATTTATTCACATCTTTTTACATATTGTAAACAAGGATAGGATACTTTTGACAGTAGCCTATGAACAAATTTTAAAAAATATATCCCTTACAATAGAATAGGTACCAAGGGAGCATTTTAATTACGATTCTGGTAGGTCTCTTATGAGCCTACTTTCCAGAAAAACTTTATATGAAATTTCCTGATTAAAAAAAAACTAAAGTCATAGATTTAAGTTGAGAGAATATGGTATGTGAGGTAAGGTCATGGTAATATCTATGGTCTGATGCACAATGTAGCATGTACAAAAGAACCTAAAGAGACATCTATCTCAAATTTCAGGCAAGATATAAGAGTGCATAGAGAAGAGAGAGCTTTTCAGATCAGATAGTTAAAGAAGACACAGTATTCACCTAAATCGGTAAGTTGTAAGCAACATATACATATGCAATGCCAATCCACAGAATGCAAACAAGATCAATTAGAAATTGTACTGTGATAGCCACACATTTTGGAGAAAAATTCCCAAGCCAGGCGAATGTGGATTGGGATAAAAACGTAGGCGGTGTACACCACCATAGCAAAAATGGTTAGTAAGATGGTATTGAACATGGATTGCTCCCAGGGCTCCAAGACAGCACAGCAGCTAATGATTTGGTATTGATAGTAGAGCCAGGAGAAATAGTCCTTCACACGCCTGAAATCCATGGTTGGCTCCTTCAAGCTGCAGAAAGTTTGTCCTGTTAAAGAAGGTAATAGATTAGAAGAAAAATCAAATAAGGAAGTGAACACAGACTCTTCTTAGATTTTCATGATCTCAGCATGTTAAAACCTTTCAAAGAATGTTAACGATCCTTGAATGGACTATTAATGTGAATATTATATAGAATTAATAAATAATATATTAATCATAGGAATTAATAATATTTCCACCACTACTACTAATTTATTACTAGAATTAATAGCAACATTATTAATAACAGTAACATTTATCTAAAAATGATAATTGCTAGTAATAACTCTAGTGATAATATCTAAAAATTGAGGCTGACCACATTTTCTTTATCCACGTATACACTGAGATAAAAGTGAATTTTCTATTTCCTACAACATATATTCTGGAAGATTTAAAGCGTGATGTACAGAAAAGTGTTAATATAGTAAGCCTGAGGCTACTTTCTTTATAAGGGCCTGCCTGCAAGTTTGGCCCTTGGCTGGCATCTGGAAACTTGGCTTTTGGAATGTTCTCTCCATTCCCTAATGGATAAGAATGAGTTACTATGCCTAGACTATGCAAACACTATAATTTATCGTGAACACCTGCTTTTTTCTAGGAGTCTGGAATTTTGGTAATTGCCAGGCAAAGGGTGACCAGCCCTAATAAAAAGCCTGCTGCCATGGGCTTCCCTGGGCAGAAACATTGCACATGCATCACTGCACTTTTTGCTGGTAGAGAAAGGAGCATGCTTGATGTATCTACTCATGGGAGGGAGAGAGCATCGGAAGCCTGTAAATGGATTTCCTCAGACTCCACCTCTGTCTTTCTTCCTTGATGATCCTGTTATATGTATATCCTTTTGCTGTAATAAACCTAAGCTGTGAGCACAAATATATGTTGAGTCCCGTGAGTCTTTCTAGTGAGTCACTGAACATGTGGGTGATCTTGGGGACCTCCAAAACAAATGAGAAGCCCAAAGTGTTCCTTTGGATGGTCATTTGGTTTTTGGGTAGAGAACTTATGAAAACCAGACAAAAAAGTTTTGTTTTGAAAACCATACAAATGTTTTGTTGGCCTCAGATAGGACCATAGTTATAACCACATGTAAAACTTCCTAGAAAGAAGAGCATCTGTCAATTCTTAAAGATTCTTGGGAAGATTTTGCAGACTTTCATAGACATGATGGGTGTCTATGAGGATATAAACTGACCTGTGCCTGTTCTGCTTACTCCTAAGAACATAATGGTGCCACATCATCTAAGTCCACTTTGATAACTTTTTCTGTTCAAATCACAGTTAAGTTTTTTTGAAGATCATTTATCTCTTCTGACCTGAAAATGTCTCTCTTTTCTTTTATTCTCTTTTGAGTAAAAGCAAGATGTTTTTGCTCCATAAGACTGTGGACTCCTCAGGCTATGGGGAGATCCATGATCCTAACGCCTTGCACAAAGATGGTCATCAGTAAATACTTGCTGAATGAATGAGTCAATGAATGAATGACAAGTAACCAACTTAAATAATTATATACTGATCAACAGAGTCCCAACCTAAGTAGGATGTGGTTAACTATTGTTGACTTTCAACAGCGTGGCTTTGTTAATAAGTAACTCTTTCTGATAAGGATAATTTCCACAAAAACTTAAAATGGAAAGTCTTTGTGTTACCACGTCTTGATTTTCTGTAATAATGGCCAAGATAATCCAAATAAATAGATAACACAAACTGAAGTTGTTTTACTTTCCTATGAAAAGAAAAGTCAGCCTCCCTTCTTTCCTAGAAGCTAGAGTGGGAACTAAGTAATTGGATTTACATGCCTTTCCTGGTAGGTGGACCTCGGTGAGAAGTTATCTCCAACATTCTTTTTTCATTCCTAGCTCTGGTTGTAGAGAAAGAGCAAAGGCCAATAGGGTAAGGTCTTGGAGGAAATGATGACAGAAGGAGAAATAGTTTCAGTGAGTGATATTATCCAGGAAACCAAGATTTTCCACTGATAGGCCGAAACAGAGTAAATTAGAAGTTATCACTATTTGAGCTTTTAGGCTGTCCCACTAGACAACTGTATATTTCAAACTAAACTTAATTTTAAAAATCTCATTTTTAAATTTAAAACTGCTACCCACCCTTGCTTCCTCTTAATTACCTAGACAGAATTTGGGGCAGGGCCAGGTAACTGATCAGAAGCGTGAGGGTCCTTTCATCAGGTATTAAGTTCCAGGCTGTCCTGGGTGAAGGAGGGAGAAAGATGGCTCAGACAGACACAGACTCTCCCCTTAGGAAGGGTGGTCCAGTTGGGGAAACAGGTAGCAATCAAATAACATATACAAATGTTTAACTATCAAGTACATTATGCCCTAAAGGAAAAAGCAGTACATAAGGGGCTGTAGGAAACCTGATCCAGTCTGAGCATGCCTCTGAGGAAGAGATATTTGAGATGGGATCCAAGGGATGATCCAAGTCAAACAGATAAGATGTGTTGTCAGGTGGGGAGAATGGCCATGACAGAGGGGTCAACTGTGTATGCAGAAGTTAGAGGTGGGAAGGAGCCTCATAGGTGGCCCAAGGAGGCAGGGAAAGGAGCACAGAGATCTGGGGAGGGAGGCTGGGAGTATGAGAAAACTGAGGAGGAGGGAATGGCCAGAGTGAGGCCAAGCACTCAGGGCCTAGCTGGATAGGCTAGGCCAGGTATTTTGTCTTTATCTTGTGAGTGATGGGGCTCCAAGGGTTTTTAACAGGGGAATGCTGCGGTGGGTTTGAAAGGATGAGGCTCTAAGCTCATAGGGACACGCTGCCTTCCCTGCCTTCCAAAGCCCAGTTGAAATGGTTTTGAATACCAATTTTTTCAGAAAATCTAGGCCTCTGCTCTCCCATGAGTGTCACTCAATCAGAATCAACCTGAAAATCTGTTTAAAATATTCTAAACACTCATTTCACTTTTATAAATAAGATAAATTACTCACTTAGAAATATCATTGACTTTTAAAAATGCACTAAATAATTGCCTGGACATTGCTTTCTGTTCTGAAATTAAATTTCCTGCTTGAGCACCCCCAGTGGACACCTTGATTGCAGCCTTGTGAGAGACCCTGAGCCAAAGGCACTCAACAAAGTTGTGCCCAGATTCCTGAGCCATAGAAACTGAGATAGTCAATGTTCACTGTTTTAAGCTGGAAAAGTGAGTAAGTCAATCAGTCAAGGAAACGACAGATCTAAAGCATACAACATGCTTTACACGAAGGTGGACACCTGGTAAGACCTTGGTCACAGACTGCTAATGATTTGAAGAATTAAGATTAAAAAATTGTTTTCTTGCCAGTTTCTACAGTCCCCTGAATCACTTCCCAGCTAGCTAGTTCTGACACATAAAAAGTGCTCTTATTCTCACCCCTCACTTCAGTCTCAAGAAGTCTAAGAATCAGTCAATAAAAAACATTGATTTCTCTCCTTTCTTTGATTCTCTTTTCCCTTACTGATGAAAAGCAATTTTAAGGATTGTTTATTCATTGTTTCTTATTATGAAAAGGTGAGAAGAGAGAGAGTTGGTTATTACTGGTAAACCATCTGCTACAACCTATTGTTAGAATATGCACTATGTTTAGGTTCTGGATGTGCTTAGGTAATATATTTCTACTTCCGTTTGAGTTCATTTTTTAATCTCCTAGGGGACTACATGCAGGATTACTTTTAAAAAACCACTCTAGACAATTTAAGATGAGTAATGTGGGTAGGAGAATTCATTCACTCATTCAACAAATACATTTTGAGTACTACTCTGTGGTTTCTTCTGAATAGTAATGGCTTCAGAAGGAATCTGTCCCCAAACAGCACTGCAGAGAGGAGATGCTCTTCTAAGCAGCAGCAAACTGGACCATGTAACAAACACGTAGTGAGGGGCCAGGAATGAGCACTAAAGGGGAGGAAAGGATGTGGAAAGATGCTAAGACGGAAGCTAGCAGAAGAGGCTGAATTTGGGGAAATAAGATGACAGAAATGCCATGACATTAATTATCTATAGGTAACCTAGAACTAGAAGACAGCAAACATATTAAGGTCTTAATTTTTCACAGTGAAATTTGAAATTAATTTGCCTACTTCCTTAAAGACCATACCCCAGCACAGCTAAAATGCCATACCCCAGCACAGCTAAACAGAGAACTTAAAATGTTTACTTTATTTAAGCACACCATTAATCTCTTTGTTTTAAGTTATGTGTTTTTAAAACATGATTTCGTGTATATGAAGGGAGTAGTTTACTTGTTTCTTTTTTAAAAAATTTTCCCTCTAAACTTGATGATTTTGAAAACCCTCTTAGATCTTTAATGAGGTTGTGCATTCAAAGGTGGCATTGCCTAGGCTGATAGTGGTATGTCTTCAGGGGCACAGTGGCCTGGATGGGTATGACTCTAACAGCTGAAGCTGTGTGGTGATTCCGTCAGGTGAACGGGCAGAGCCTGGAGCCCCTGTGGAACACAAAGATTTGAAGCCCCCTGTAAGAAGTGGAGGGGGGGTGGGCAGAGATCAGCACTGTTACCTGGAGGAATGGATTGTGAAGCCTGAGGAAAGGCTTTCTCTGGGCCATTGTTTTAAAAACTGATAAAGTCTCTTTCTTTAGGAGGACCAGTGTAGGACATTCTAAGATGCCTAATTGATTTGATTTTTCAGAGTTCTCTAGTAATAATAACAAAACAATTTATGTTTTCATAGGATTATTTGTAGTTTAGAAAGTGCTTTTATTGCATTTACATAATGCAGAGCATGGTTTTGGGACTAAAGATAGACATTGGTTCAAGTTCTGATTCCTCTACTTACCGGCTGTGTGACCTTGGCCCAGTTACTTACTTGTTCTGGGCCTCAATTTCGTCACCTGTAAAGTGGAGATAATAATCCCTACTGTTTAGGGTTGCTGTGAGGATTAGCAGAAATTGCTTGAAGATTAGCAAGCAAAGAATCAATTCAAGAGATTTGCATATGGAGGAAGTACATAGATAGGAAGATAGAATCTAACCTCTCTCTCTTCTTTTTATT